CTACTCCGACTACGACGACGGCGCTGACGGCGACGACGACTACTACAACGACCTCTCCTCCACCTCCCCCGCCCTGGTTAATTCTTTCTTTCGCCGTCATCCTCCTCATCATCATCATTTTTTTCGTCATCATCCTCATCATCATCCTCCTCGCCCTCCACTTCCGTCCTCGGACCCGCGCAGTACCCGCATGCGCCGACGCGCGGGGAGCATCCCCAGAGCGGCGGCTCTCCCGCGCCTCCAACAGCATGTCCTGATCCATGAAGACGTCTCGCGCCTCCCCACACGGATCCTTTCCACTTTGCGGAAGGTGCCTTTTTACTGCTGCTCATCATTATCATCATAATCAGCATCATCAGCATCTTCAGCATCATCATCATGATCATCATCATCATCATCGTCATCATCATCAGCATCGACCTCATCATTAGTTAACACCACCGTGATGCCCATCTATCATACAGGTCACCGACTTCAGCACCACCGCCAACATCGGCGTCGTCGCGATCATCATGGGCATCCTCATCCTCCCCGCCCTCTTAATCGTCCTCACCTCCATCACCTCCCATTCATCATATGCAGCACTACCGTCATCATCTGCGTCGTCGCCATCACCCCCGCCACCCTCGTCGTCGTCATCCGCCCCTGCCCGCAGCACACCTCCTCCCATCGCCTCCCGTCCTTCGCCCCCCCCCCTGGCTCCTCTCCCCCACACTCCCCCTCAGCGCACACTTGCTCCCACCCGCCCGCACGGTCGTAGCCGTCATTGCACTGATGCTCACAACAGCAGTCCATACAGCAACGTGCCTATATACCCCGCCCGTCCTTGGCGCATAATCCGCACACTGTACCGGGTGTGAGCTGTACTATCTGGAACGTCGGGTGCCTGCACGACAACATGGGCATGTGGGAAGACAGGTCGAAGAGAGGAGAGATCTCTCGGTCTGCACGTTCATATTCGACAACTCCAACGCGACTGGGGCAAGATGGCAGTCATGATAGGGGGAAATTGCAAGCACGTACGGTACCTGACCGAAGCTGCCACCACTTGCAAAGGAATGCGTACCCACAACAAGCGCTGACTCCTAGACATCGGAGAAGTAGAGATTAGGCAAGGTAATGGAGATGAGCAGGGAGAAGGGGGCAAGTGAGGCAATGGTAGATGGGCAGGGATATGACAGGCGCCAAGGCAAGGGCGCCATCCCGAAGGACCGAGGCCGTTCCGAGTGGAAAGAAGATACGTATTAAAACCACTGTTTCAACTCTTGTGCAAGAACCATGTGCGGGAGTGACCAGTGAGGAACCAGGACGTGATAGGGGAAGAGAGGAGAGCAATGAACTGACAGTGCATCCGCCACCGTGCCGAAGGTACTGAATGGAGTATCCTCAGATCCCTCCGAGCTCACTGGATTGATTGCGAATGCTCTGCAGAGCTCTCTGGGTTGAGGACTAAGGGTTGGGCCCCAGACCCAAACTCTGGAAACTCCTGGGCGGTTCCAGGGCTCGCTTGCCGCATGACTTCCCCCGAGGCATTGGGAGCCAGGCTCGGACTCCAGACTTCCAGCATGCCCTAAGATGGCCCCAAGTTGCCGTCCTGGATCCCCCTTGGGCGCCTCTGAGGCAGTTTTGGAGGTCTTGGACATATCATATGTTGTTGCGCGATCTTCTATACGCATCTGTTCTGTCTACAAACAATCAGAGATGGCACGAGAGGCCAAACAAATCGCCCCAAGAGGGTCCCCGAGGCCCCCAAGAGGTCACCCCAAACGGCCTCGAGAGGGCACGGAGGAACACTGGAAGAGGCCAGGGGGCATTCCGAGAGATCCCGACGGGCCTCTGAGAAGTCTCTAACCCAAGGCCCAGGCAAGGTCGCGGGATCCGCCGCCCCCTGTAGCTTGCCACAGTGGTGCACGGCGTGCCGAACGTTTGGCTGTTTTTACCTAACAGCGAAGACTGATAGGTCTCTAGTGGTGTCAAAAGATAACAGCAAATGACTCCACAGGGGGGTCTGGGCGGCATCCGGGGAGCTGTGTCCGAACTCGTGTCCGAATTCGTTTTTCGCAAACAGTCACACACTTCGTGCTCTTCGACCTCCCAGAACTCCATTCCCGGGCCACATTCTGAATGCCCCGAGCCAACTGTAGGCCACTTCGTGTTCTTCGACTTCCCAAAACTCCATTCCCGGGCCACATTTTGGATGCCCGGAGCCAACTGTAGGCCATTTCGTGCTCTTCGACTTCCCTGAACTCCACTCCCGGGTCACATTCTGCATGCCCGGAGCCAACTGTAGGCCACTTCGTGCTCTTCGAGTTCCCAGAACTCCACTCCCGGGCCACATTTTGAATGCCCGGAGCCAACTGTAGGCCACTTCGTGGTCTTCGAGTTCCCACAACTCCATTCCTGGGCATGATTTTGAATGCCCAGAGCCAACTGTAGGCCACTTCGTGTTCTTCGAGTTCCCAGAATTCCACTCCCGGGCCACATTTTGAATGCTGAGGCAGGCTGAGGCTGAGGCTGAGGCAGGCTGAGCTGCTCTGAGGCTGAGGCTGAGGCAGGCTGAGGCTGAGGCTGAAGGCAGACTGATGCTGAGGCAGGCTGAGGCTGAGGCTGAGGCTGATGCAGGCTGAGGCTGAGGCAGGCTGAGGCTGAGGCCGAGGCTGAAGGCAGACTGAGGCTGAGGCTGAAGCAGGCTGAGGCTGAGCAGGCTGAGGCTGAGGCTGAGGCTGAGGCAGGCTGATGCTGAGGCTGAGCAGGCTGAGCTGAGGCTGAAGGCGGCTGAGGCGGAATGCCGAGGCTGAAGGCAGACTGAGGCCTGAGGCTGAGCAGCTGAGGCTGAGGCTGAGCAGCTGAGGCTGAGGCTGAGGCTGGCCGATTGCTGAGGCAGCTGAGGCTTAGGCTTAGGCTGTTGCAGCTGAGGCTGAGGCAGGCTGATGCTGATGCCGAGCAGGTGGAAGGCTGGAAGGCTGGAGGCTGGGGCTGATGCAGGCTGAGCTGGGAGGCTGAGGCAGGCTGAGGCTGAGGCTGAGGCTGAGCTGAGGCTCATGCAGGCTGAGGCTGAGGCAGGCTGAGGCTGAGGCCGAGGCTGAAGCAGACTGAGGCTGAGCTGAAGCGGCTGAGGCTGAGGCAGAGGCAGGCTGAGGCTGAGGCTGAGGCAGGCTGAGGCTGAGGCAGGCTGAGGCTGAGGCTGAGGCTCATGCAGGCTGAGGCTGAGGCAGGCGGAGGCTGAGGCCAAGGCTGAAGGCAGACTGAGGCTTGGGCTGAAGCAAGCTGAGGCTGAGGCTGAGGCAGGCTGAGGCTGAGGCTGATGCAGGCTGAAGCTGAGGCTGAGGCAGGCTGATGCCGAGGCAGGCTGAGGCTGAGGCTGAGGCTGATGCAGGCTGAGGCTGAGGCAGGCTGAGGCTGAGGCTGAGGCCGAGGCTGAAGGCAGAATGATGCTGAGGCTGAAGGCAGAATGAGGCTGAGGCTGAAGCAGGCTGGGGCTGACGCAGGCTGAGGCTGAGGCTGAGGCAGGCTAAGGCTGAGGCTGTGACTGCGACTGCCGTTGCCACTGCGACTGTCATCGCGAATGCGACTACGACTGCGAGAACAGCAGAACTCTACAACTGGATTTTCATCCGAATCTTAAGGGGAATGCTTCCAGATATGCTCCTACACATCGCTGTTAGGTTGCTTTGCCGGGAGAATTGGTCATCTTAGGTTCCCAATGGGATCTCTGCCGGTCCCGCCGTCCACCCGGAAAAACTCGCAAAGTGCGTTTCCCATTGCCCAAATTGCCTTCAAGACGGCCCAAGATGGCCCCAAGATGCCCCGATCGGGCTCCAACAGGATCTCCAAGAGGCCAAAAAAATAGCCTGACGAAGGACCCAACCATATGCAGGTGCGAGCACCGCAACTGTGATTCCCTTTTTCGGTGGTGATGCCTATGAGGCAACGAACCGTGCTAGGGGTGTGCCGAAATGAGTGGCGTGGTACACGACGCGAACGAAAACGATTGATCTGAGTACGTAGGGCGACTGAGCGCGGGTGAATCTGAGCGCGAGTGCGTCTGACTGTGAATGAATCTGCGTGCGAGCGAGTCTACGTGCATGAATGCGAGTATGTCAATGCATGGTGCAATTGTATATATGAATGCTAATAGTTTGTAAATGACTGCCTCTGAGTACTCGTGAGGCTGGGCGTGGCCGCCGCAAGGAGTTTCCCCGGGGCTCCCCGACGGCATCGCCCGCGCGCCGCGACGCCACCGCGAGGATCGCGCCCGCTTCCTCCCCTTCTTTTACTCCCTCTTTGCCCGCGCACTCAAAAGTCCAAAGCTGCGGGCGCAGCGCAGCGCGGAGTCCCAGCGACGCGCGCAGGTCGCCCCGGAGGGGTCCCAGCGACGCGCGCAGGTCGTCCGCTGCGCGCAGCAAAAAGAGCTAGCTGGCTGGCTGATAGCGGGCAAGGCTCTTGCCGCTGGGCAGAGCGACGACGGGCGAGCGAGGCGCGGAACTCCGACGGCCTCCGGCGGAGGTGTACTGGGTGGGGGAGACGCAAGCGGACTGCGCCACGGGGACCTTCGGTGGAGCTCCCTATGGGGCCACGAAACGTGTAAGGGATGTGCCGAAATGGGTGTGCGGGACGCATGCGGGCACACCAACTGGGACTTTCGGTTGGGCTCCCTATGGGGCCGCGGAACGTGTGAGGGATGTGCCGAAATGGGTGTGCGGGACGCATGCGGGCACACCCACTGGGACCTTCGGTGGAGCTCCCTATGGGACCACGAAACGTGTGAGGGATGTACCCAAATGTGCGTGCGGGACGCATGCGGGCACACCCACTGGGACCTTCGGTGGAGCCCCCTATGGGGCCACGAAACGTGCGAGGGGTGGGCCGAAATGGGTGTGCGGGACGCATGCGGGCACACCCACTGGACCTTCGGTGGAGCTCCCTATGGGGCCACGAAACGTGTGAGGGGTGTGCCGAAATGGGTGTGCGGGACGCATGCGGGCACACCCACTGGGACCTTCGGTGGAGCTCCCTATGGGGCCACGAAACGTGTGAGGGGTGTGCCGAAATGGGTGTGCGGGACGCATGCGGGCACACCCACTGGGACCTTCGGTGGAGCTCCCTATGGGGCCACGGAACGTGTGAGGGGTGTGCCGAAATGGGTGTGCGGGACGCATGCGGGCACACCCACTGGGACCTTCGGTGGAGCTCCCTATGGGGCCACGAAACGTGTGAGGGGTGTGCCGAAATGTGTGTGCGGGACGCATGCGGGCACACCCACTGGGACCTTCGGTGGAGCCCCCTATGGGGCCACGAAACGTGTGAGGGGTGTGCCGAAATGGGTGTGCGGGACGCATGCGGGCACACCCACTGGGACCTTCGGTGGAGCTCCCTATGGGGCCACGAAACGTGTGAGGGGTGTGCCGAAATGGGTGTGCGGGACGCATGCGGGCACACCCACTGGGACCTTCGGTGGAGCTCCCTATGGGGCCACGAAACGTGTGAGGGGTGTGCCGAAATGGTGTGCGGGACGCATGCGGGCACACCCACTGGGACCTTCGGTGGAGCTCCCTATGGGGCCACGAAACGTGTGAAGGGTGTGCCGAAATGGGTGTGCGGGACGCATGCGGGCACACCCACTGGGACCTTCTGTGGAGCTCCCTATGGGGCCACGAAACGTGTGAAGGGTGTGCCGAAATGTGTGTGCGGGACGCATGCGGGCACACCCACTGGAACCTTCGGTGGAGCCCCTTATGGGGCCACGGAACGTGTGAGGGGTGTGCCGAAATGGGTGTGCGGGACGCATGCGGGCACACCCACTGGGACCTTCGGTGGAGCTCCCTATGGGGCCACGAAGCGTGTGAGGGGTGTGCCGAAATGGGTGATGACGATGATGATGGTGGGAGGAGGAGGAGGAGGAGAGGAGACGCGGGGACCGTTTCTTCAGAACGAGGACCCAACACCACAGGATGGTTGGGAATAATTGATTCCGACATGGATTTTCAACCGTTTGATCATTTTCGCCTTTTCGGGCTTCCGCCGCTCCAAGGCGGCCGCAGAGGCCCACAAGAGGCCCACAAGACGGCTCAACAGGGCCCCAAGACGGCCCAAGAGGCCAGACGGCCCCAAGACGGCCTTATACACCTCCAAGACGGCCCTCACACGTCCAAAGAGGAACCCACGACTGCCCAGAGAGGACCCCAAGACGGCCTCCGAAGGGCAGGAAGTCCTCCAGAGGCTCCCACAGGCACCCAAGAGGTCCCCAAGAGGCCCCTCAGAGGCCCCCAGAGGCTCCCAGGAAGCCCCCTCGGAGGCCCCTAAGAGGGCCTCAAGAGGCCTCCTTCTTCCTCCTCCTTCCTCCTCCTTCCTCCTCCTCCTCCTCCTCCTCCTCCTCCTCTTCCTCCCCCTCCTCCTCCTCCTCCTCCTCCTCCTCCTCCTCCTCCTCATCCTCCTCCTCCTCCTCCATGCCTCCCCCGAATAAAAAACTCATCCCTGTCGACGTGCCGGTAGGGCGGGCCAAGCGTTGAGCCTGCGACTTCCTCGCCATATGTGATCCTGAAGCTTGAGATGTGCAACAGCTTCAAGGATGGACGTCGGGCCCTTTTCAAAATGATGCTCTCGCCTTAGCGCCGCGCACATTCGTCTTCAAAATTTGAAGCAGATTCAAGAATGGAGGTCGGGTGGTTTTCAAAATGGGGCTCTCGCCTTAGCATCGAGAACATCCGTTCTCAAAGTGGCAAAGGGCTCGATGATGGAGACGGTGTTCAAAATATGGCCTTCGCCTTAGCGTCGCGGGCATTCGTCTTCAAAATTTGCAACAGCTCCACGGATGGGAGGATCCTTTTCAAAAAGTAACTCTCGCCTCAGCGTCACGCACCTTCGTGTTCAAAGTGTGCAACGGCTTCAAGGATGGAGGGCAGTTTCGTTTCAGCAGGTGGCTCTCGCCTCAGCGCAGCGCACAATTCTTCTTTATCGTATACTACAGAGTCTAGGATTCGTGTGGCTGAATTCCCACGGAAGGCGTTCTGGCCGAGTACGGATGGTACGTTCAATCGTTTCTATAAGTCCCAGGAGCGGAGCTTGGCACGATCGAGGACAATCAGGACACAACAATCATGTTGATTCGCAATGTTGCAGTCCCCGGAATTGCGTTTTGGAGCCATCGGGGATTATCAGACGGTTGTCTTTCAATGGGGCCCGTCCCGCAATGAAAACTGTTCTTGAGGGACATCTGAAAAGGGAACTGGGAGGGAGGGTTTATTGCAACATCGTTGATGCATGTTGGGTTTACACTGCTCGTTTTCCTCCGTCTCCTCCCTTTCCTCCTCCTCCTCCTTTCTCGTCCCCTCCCAAGTGTTCTCCCAAAGCGTTCCACTACGGATAAGGGAACACATTGTCAAATTGCTCGGCCGAACGTCGGCCCGGCGTTCGGCCTAATGGACGCTTCGAAAAGGCTGAGGGGGGCGGTGACTCGCCGTAGGCGACTTCGATCTGGCGCCCCCTGTCGAATTACCAAAGGAATGCCTGGCGTGTCAAGTGCTTCAGCGTGTTGTATGTGTGCTAAGGGTTCTGGCCCAGCCCGCCAGCCACCCCGAAGGACCCATAAAGCAGCGTAGATCCACAGATACAGTTCCCCTGGAAAGCCATTGTGGCCTCCGAGACGGTCAGGATGGCCTTCAGGACGGCCCAAGATGGCCCCAAGATGCCTCCATGACGGTCCAAGATGAGACAGCCCAAGATGGTCCCAGGATGGCCCAAGAGGCCTCCGAGACGCCCCAAGAGGGCTCCAACAGATCTCCAGGAGACCAAAATCGTTGCTGTCCTTCGGTGCTTCAATGATTCTAGCGTTCTCACCTTTTCGGGCTTCCGCCGCTCCAAGACGGCACAATAGGCCCCGCAAGACGGTCGAAGAGGGCCCCAAAGCGGCCCAAGAGGTCTCCAGCGTTCCCAAGATGGCTCCACAGACTTCCAAGGAAGGCCCTCGAGGGTCCATAGAAGAAGCCACGACTGCCCAGAGAGGACCCCAAGACGGCCTCCGAAGGGCAGGATGTCCCTGGGAGGCGAGGCACCCAAGAGGCACCCTAGAGGCCCCAGAAGGCCATCAAGGCCCGACAAGGCCATCGAGAGGCCAAAGGCAGCGGTCCCAAGGAGGCTCCAGGGAGGCCCCCAGGAGGCCCCACGAGGCCTCCTTCTTCCTCCTCCTTCTCCTCCGCCTCCTCCTCCTTTTCCTCCCTCTCCTCCTCCTGTCTTCCTCTCCCAAGTGCTCCCCCGAGGGGTTCCACAACGGCTGGGGGAAATCATAGTCCAATAGCTTGGCCAAAAGTCGGCACAACGTTCGGCCGCATGGACGACTCCAAGGGCAGGGGGCGGCAGTGACTTGCCGTAGGCGACTTCGATCCGCCGCCCCATTGGCCCTTAAACAAAAAACATGGAAAAATATTCCGACAGGCAACTCGGAAAACGTATTTCGGAAAACGTCTTCCCAAAATGTCCAAGAGGAACACAAAGTCAACTAGCGTGGACGCACTTTGGCTCGATAATTCACGACTCGGGCGCTTTCAAAATGCACAGGGCGGTGGTGACTTGCCGCGGGCGTCCTCGATAGTCGCAGAGGTGCAGATGGGTGCGCGCCAAGGTGGAAGTGCCGCTCCGAATGACCGAGGACGCTCCCCGTGGCGAGAAACGGCGATAAAGACAGAGAGAGAAAACAAAAAAAAAAACTGCGTGTAAAGAAAACAGTAACGCACTTGAGTGATGGGTGTCAACGAGCACGATGTCGAGGAAGAGTGAAAAGACCATGGAGTGGCACGAACAGGGTAGGGGGCGCGACAAAAGCGAACACAATATTCGAAACACCTTGTACACATGCGGGAGTTATCGGTGAAAACCTGAACGTGGCCAACCGCAGGAAGAGGGGAGCAGAGAGGAGCGAGGAGAGACGAAGGAAGAGGAAGTGACATGGAGCGATGAGAGAGGAAAGGCGATGTCCTGCTCACCCTCCGTCCTCAGACGTACAGGTTGGTTGGTCCATTACATCACACAGATCGCCCAGACACTGCACGTCTGCAGCCTGCATTGCTACGTGGGACTCCCTCTACTCTGAGCATGTCCCCGGTTAAATAAAGCGCCTCTTCCTCACGTTCAAGAACTTGTCGAGGATAATGTCAATATTCAACTCCTGGCCCTCAGCATCCTGGACAAAGGCTGATCCACGCTCCACAATGGCAATACGTCTGATATCCGGCAGCGTGGTGCACGCATGACAGCCCGGAAAAGCAAGCAAACAACTAAAACCACAAAAAACGCCCTGACAGAACTCTCCCAGAATTTCTGGAAGGGGGAGCAGGACGAGCAAGCTCGCGAAAGCTCGCGAACTGATCCAGCTTCCGCGAGGTGGCAACTCTGGTGACCAGCACGCGGCAAGGAGGAGGAAGAAGAGGATATGCAGCAGGGGAAGGAGATGCAGCAGAAGGACAAGAATGGCAAGGGGAAGAAGGGAAAGAGGAAGAGAAAGAACTCTCGCGACTCGCGCGCAAAACGGCTGTGCCAACCAGGAAGATGCCCTGAGGAAAGGGCGCTCCTAAGAGAAAGAGCCAGACGACATCGATGGTCAACCAAAGCACGCGTGCTGAACCTTCTCCCACCTCCTCCGAATATTCCTGGTCAGATTTCCTGGCGCCCACGAAACTTATGCGGTCGACGGTGCGTCCGGGCATGACACAACCCAAGGAGGCCAGGACGACTCCCCTCTCGCTTCCCTCATGGAAGAAGAGCTGACTCTACGCCTGCGATGACTGCCAAGCAACAAGCATCTCCCCCTGACAACACTCTGAGAAACCCTGCCCTACCGCCGCTGGCACTCCAAAAATAAAACCGCCACCTCTTCCTCCTGCTGCCGCACCTGCTGCTACTACCTCTGCTGCGACGACGACGACGACGACGACGACGACGACGACGACGACGACTACTACTACTACTACTATACCACTACTACTACTACTACCACTACTACTACCAC